AATACATCAGTTTTGGTTTTCTTCTAATCTCAGCCAACATCCCAACACTGCATTAGGTGTATATTCTTTCTTTGCATGTATTGTCTGACTACTACCAGTGTAATTTTCTTTCTCTTTGCTACCTTACTCTAACAGATGCAAGCAGCTTGGGTCTACTGTGTGCCTTTTTGACACTTGAACGCTCTACACCGTCACAGGAGACAGGTATTTGTTAGGAGCCTCCATCTCCCATTAGTCTGGAGAAGAGAAGGCTGAGGGGAGACCTTATTAATGCTGACAAGTATCTAAAGGGTGGGTTGAAGGAGGGTAGAGCCAGACTTTTTTCAGTGGTTCCCAGTGACAGGACGAGGAGCGAGGGGCACAAGCTGGACCATGGGAAGTTCCACTCAAAAGTGAGGAAGGTGAGGGTGACAGAGCCCTGGAACAGGCTGCCCAGGGAGGGTGTGGAGTCCCCTTCTTTGGAGATTTTCAAGCCCTACCTGGATGCAGTCCTGAGTAAGGTAATGTGCTCCGGGCAACCCTGCTTCAGCAGGGGAGTTGGACTAGATGATCTCTAGAGGTCCCTTCCAACTCTGAGAATTCCATGATCTCTGCCTTCATGTGCTAGCATTTTCCTGAATTAATTTAACCAGGAAAACATACATTAGCTAGTTAAATATTTCTTCCAGGCCCCAGGAAATATTTATTTTATTTAAATAAAGATGTGAATGCGATAGCAGGATTCTTGATCCTGAAGAATTCATAGAGGCAGGGAAGGCTATCCAGTCCAATGGCTCTCCTCGCCGTCACTGCGGACACATCCACCCGCCCTGCTCTGCAAACCCACCACAAGGTGCAGCTTCGTGTCCAGAGAAAGCTTAAGGACCAACACTCCTAATTGCTAGCTGCAGGTGACTTGTGCTGCCATGTGAAAGTGTTTAAATTCAGGAAGACAGTGGCACGGACAGTTTTCCCTCTGGCTGAATTGTTCACCTCTTTTCTTAGCAAGGAGGTTGTTGACACCGCCATTCACAAACGTTTTATTTTTACCACAGCTTAGACAGGTGAGCATGAGCTCCGCTACGTGGCAGGACGCAGAGGGGTGACACCGCCAGGTCTCTCTGCCCGCTCCCCTGTGCCACACACGCTGAAAGGCGGCCTGGCGCTTCCCCGGCCCACATCTCTCCTCAGCGGGGCGGGGGCTCGGGATGGAGGCCGTGCGGCAGCCGGGCCTGGCTGAGGGCTCCTCCTCACCGCTCCGCAGGCTACCCCAGGGCCACACGCCTTCTTGCCGAGAGAGCCCAGCGCGGGGCTAGGCCGGCAGCCTCCCTCAGGCGGCAAACGGAGCGGGAAGAGCTGCGCCGGCCAGCCCCCTCCGGCCATTTCCGCCATCTTGTTTAAGGGCAAACACCTTCCCGCGCCCGGGAACGAGCGAGGAGTCACGGGACTTCCGCCCTGGATCAACATGTCTGAGGGAGCGTCGGCCGGCTGTCGGTACTCTACCCTGCTGCTCCGCCTGGCGTCTGTGGGGCGAGTAGGCCGCCGGGGAGGACGCGGCACGGAGGCGAGCTCCTCGGCGGGCCCGGTGCGTGCCCGAGCCAGCGGGGTCAGTAGGGAGCGCGGCCCGGGCCGGGGCGCAGGACCCTGCCGGCGGGGTGCCCCATCCTCGCCCCGCTCACCCTCAGCGGCGCCTCTTCACCCCCGGTGCCGTGAGGTGAGGGGCGGGCTCAGCCCAGGCGGTGAGGGAGAGCCGAGGCTTCGGCCTATCTGCCCTGCCCCGCCCCAGGTTAAACTGCGATGTCTGGGGTGTGCAGCCTGTGGGGGTTTAATACCTCACAGTTACGTGGGCAGCCCTCAGCCAGGTGAGAGCTGGAAGCCCTGGCACATAGACTTTAGCTGTGGGGCAGCGCGCTGGGCCTCAGAGCTGGTTCTTGGGCACCTCTGGTAACAAAGTCTTCCTCTGCCTGGTGCCCAGATGGCATATGGCTGCCACAAGAGTGGTCCCAGGTGACGCCTAGCTGCGTTGGTGAAGTTTCATGGTGGTTTGGGTATGTACGTAGCAGGGCCTGGCATTAATCCTTAGCAGGCTGCTGTGAGGATTGGCTGCAGTTTAAAACCAAGATGGGTCTTCCCAAATGAAGAGCCACTTTAGAAGGGAAGGCTGTGGAAGAGTATTTAATAATGCTTGCCTTCAGGTAATGCTGTGGATTCTGTATGTTCCTGTGTCTTGGAATAAATGAACACTTGAAGGCAACACGGAAAGTAATTAAAGTGTCCTAGCGAGGACCTAGTGGTTCTGACTAAGGTTGGCAAAAATAGCTTGAGAAAGATGTATGCTGCCTTTTGTGGATTTTATTCTGTTCTTGAAAAAGCATTGTAAGAAAAATTATTTTCATTAATACAGAAAAAAGGAGTCTTTTTTGGAGGCTGCTGTTTGCCTTTAGGTGAAATGCTAGTTTAAGTAATAATGCCACATTGATGGTTCTTTTTTAAAAAAATAAAATATTGTTTTCTAATGTCTTACATAGCAAAGTGCTCTGTGTGTTCTTGTGTCATTTCTTTAGGTGAAAAGATGAAAGTGAGACAATTTTGTGAATGGTGGTAGGGAACTGGTTGGTTTCAACTGTGTCTGACAAATCAACTATAATCCAGACATCTGCCTTTAAGTACTAGTGATGAAATGCAGCAATTGGTACTCTTTTTAATACAGATCTTGTTGTCTTTCTCAATCTGATTGGTTTTGGTTTTTTTTTCCAGACTTCCTTAGGGTCAACAGTGTTGTGGTAATCCCAAGCACAAATACAGGCTGAGTGGGGAAGGCCCTGAGGAGAAGGACTTGGGGATGTTAATTGATGAGAAGCTCAACGTGAATCAGCAATGTGAGTTCACAGCCCAGAAAGCCAACCCCATCCTGGGCTGCATCAAAAGAAGCATGGCCAGCAGGTTGAGGGAGATGATTCTGCCCCTCTACACCGCTCTGGTGAGACCCCGAGCTGGAGTGCTACATCCAGTTCTGGGGCCACCAACGTAAGAAAGACATGGACCTGTTGGAGCAAGCCCAGAAGAGGGCCATGAAGATGATCAGAGGGCTGGAGCACCTTTCCTGTGAAGACAGTCTGAGCCTGGAAAAGGCTCCAGGGAGACCTTATAACAGCCTTCTGGTATCTAAAGGGGGCCTGTGGGAGAGATGGGGAGGGACTCTTTATCAGGGAATGTAGCAATAGGACCAGTGGCAACAGTTTTAAACTGAAAGAGGGTAGATTTAGATTAAAGATTACGAAGAAATTCTTTACTGTGAGGGTAGTGAGACACTCAAACTGGTTGCCCAGGGAAGCTGCAGATGCCCCATCCCTGGAGGTGTTCAAGGCCAGCCTGGATGGGGCTTTGAGCAGCCTGGTCTGCTGGGAGGTGTCCCTGCCCATGGCGGGGGGGTTGGAACTAGATGGTCTTCAAGGTCCCTTCCAACTCCAACCATTCTGTGATTCTAACAGCATTAAAGGCTTCTGTAGCTGATCAGTTCTGCTGGCTGTCATGGATAACAGCTGATCTGTAAAGGTTCTGTGCCTTTATGAAGTATACACAATATATGCGTCTTCACTCCTGTGACACCTGAAAAGGGATAGGGTCCTCCAAATCTTATAAAATTTAGTACCCTCATGGAAGAGAAAGTCACAGATTATTTATACCACCCAAGGCAGGAATTGAGCAGCTTGACTGTTGTAAGAAGCAGTAGTCAGTTGGGTGGTCACCTGGACCATGCTAGTCAGATTTCCAGTGTCTTAGTCTTTTCAGGTCAGGTGCAGCACATCTTGCCTGTAACCCAGGTGGATAGATAAGTGAAACCAGGGGCTAGGGGAGGAATTGTGACAAAGTAAAGGGGCTAGAGGAAGAGCAGGAACCTGCAGAGCAGCTCCTTTTAAGAAGTCTCATCAAGAAAAGCGTGGAGTCTGTTTTATCTGTTAAATGTCTGAGCTGGGTCACTTGGGATACAACGAAGAGACTTGTGAGGCACAATTCTTTTTGCAGCACGTATGACTGAGATCGGTGTTAACAGAATGGGCAGCCTCAGCTGTGAAGAGACTTTGTGTGCTTGTGAGGCACAATTCTTTTTGCAGCACATATGACTGAGGTCGGTGTTAACAGAATGGGCAGCCTCAGCTGAAGATCCTCTTGGGAAGGACTGAAGCCATCATGAAAGGATGTGGGAGTTTTATTTACATGAAGCCTGTGGTGTTACATGTAGGTTGCTGAGTGAAAAACTGACAGTTGTGGCTGAAGATAACTTTTTAATCCATACCTGGCAAGAATGTAACAACTGTATCAGTAGATAATCTCACTGTGGTTTACCGCTGTTTTGTTAATTAAATGCATTACATTGGGTTTGTGCATTTATTATTTTAGGATAGTATTGAATTTATGGCTTGCTGAGAGAGGCTTTTCACAGAGGACTTGCTGCTCACACTCCAAGAAACTTGATAACTGCTCATGAGAGCTGTTTATGATCCTTTAGATGTCAGGGTTTGAGCTTCTCTGTATATTTAAAAGAAAATAATACCTGTCAAGTATGAGAGATTCCTATTTGGAATTGTCTTTTGAGACAGAGCGAGTGAGAAGTGTGTCTCTATATATGGCTAGATTGTGTGGGGTTTGATTCTGTAGCTTTCAGAATTGTCACTTTGAACTCAGAAGTCAGGCTGGCTGTTTCTGGATGATAGTTAAAAAACGGGCCAATCCTTGTCTTTACAGACTTTTGTGTGCTCAAGGGGAAGAATCAAAAGTATTTAGGGTTTTTTTTCCCCCATTTATTTTTACGAGGCTATTCAGTTGTGAACTGTAGATGGAGGCTTCTCTGACCAACAGGTATTTCATGGAATGCTGCCATCGAGTTACTCTGATTCCAGAAACCACACCATACCATGGCAGAACTATTATGTAGGCTTAAATAGTATTCACAGTTTTCCATTAAAATAGGTGAAATAAGGAATTTCAATTCTGAAAGAATTATTATTTAGTATTGAATTTATGGCTTGCTGAGAGAGGCTTTTCACAGAGGACTTGCTGCTCACACTCCAAGAAACTTGATAACTGCTCATGAGAGCTGTTTATGATGCTTTAGATGTCAGGGTTTGAGCTTCTCTGTATATTTAAAAGAAAATAATACCTGTCAAGTATGAGAGATTCCTATTTGGAATTGTCTTTTGAGACAGAGCGAGTGAGAAGTGTGTCTCTATATATGGCTAGATTGTGTGGGGTTTGATTCTGTAGCTTTCAGAATTGTCACTTTGAACTCAGAAGTCAGGCTGGCTGTTTCTGGATGATAGTTAAAAAACGGGCCAATCCTTGTCTTTACAGACTTTTGTGTGCTCAAGGGGAAGAATCAAAAGTATTTAGGGTTTTTTTTCCCCCATTTATTTTTACGAGGCTATTCAGTTGTGAACTGTAGATGGAGGCTTCTCTGACCAACAGGTATTTCATGGAATGCTGCCATCGAGTTACTCTGATTCCAGAAACCACACCATACCATGGCAGAACTATTATGTAGGCTTAAATAGTATTCACAGTTTTCCATTAAAATAGGTGAAATAAGGAATTTCAATTCTGAAAGAGTTGTGAAAAATAATTTGTCATTCATTACTAAAATGCTAGAGTTGTGAAACCCTGAGTCAGTAAAAGCTTTTCAGCTTTTAAAATGTTAATTTTATGGCTTATTCAGTAAATGGAATGTATTTTGCCCCCTCAGTGCATCTTTTAAATAAGATGTCTGTTACAAGTTAGTGGTGTTTACAAGCTCTTGTCTGATGTGGTGTTGTGGTAGTTTCAGTGCATTGTGTAAATATGCAGCTAATACGACAAGTATAGAACATTATGATCCATAACAGATCCACTGCATAAATGGGAATCCTCTCTTAAAGAGAGACAGAGAAGTTGCTTAGAATGTTCTTTTTGTATAGACGTCTCTCTGAATCTTTATTCCATCAATGTGTGTATCTATTTCTTTATTTGTACTTTCTTATTCCATCAATGTGTGTATCTATTTCTTTATTTGTACTTTCAGGGTTGTGGTGTGTGTCTGTGGTGTTTTAGGGGTTTCTTAGCACAGTGTCTCCCAAATGAGCTTCAGAGACCGGAGTTAACTTCCCTATTATTTCTTTATTTGTGATGACAGGATCAGTTAAAGCTTCATCTCTTCTCAAGAACCTGCTTGCCTCTTCTTAGTGACAGAACCAGCCCCTGAGAGCACTCTGACCTGCAGCCAGTTGCTGTTAACGAGCTGAGAAGTGGGCAGGTGAGTCCAAAGTGTAGTGATTTGATGTACCTTTTGCTGACCCTGCGTCGTCCTTCCAGGGTTTGCCAGCTGCACACGGAATTGGGTCAGGGAGCTGATCATGGTCAATTATCACCCTTTGGCTGGGATATCTTTCTTGGGTTAAGCGTCTTCTCACAGCAGAATACTTAAAAAGACAAAGCAATAACAAAGGTTAGTGATGTTAGTATTTCTGTAGAGGTTTAAATGATCAAACTGAATTGCAAAATCAAGATTATTTGTACTGAGGTTCCTACAAAAGCCTTAACTGATATGCTTACTGATTTGATTTGTTCTTGAAGTACATTAATCGTGACTCTTGGTTGCATTACTGATAAAGTTTAAAAAATAGATCTTGAATTTTATGCACTCCCTCTGCTTTCTGTACGTAACAATTCCTAGAACAGGGAACTTTGCATGGGAAGGAACGTAGCCAAAGCACTCAGTGCTTCTACACTCATCATTCTGAATTGGAGCACTAAATCAAAGTGGAAGTAATCATCTAGAATTGGAGTATGATGTCAAGAAGACTGAAAGCACAGCCTAGTAATTTAACCTCCACGTTGAAAAGGCGAGAATTAGTTTGCTCTTGTCATTTAAGAAATGATGACCTGCCCCAAGAGAATTTTTTCATGGGAAAGGGGTGCCTGTCATATCTATGTAACTGTAAGCCAAGGGATAGGAATGAAAAATTGAATGCAATTGCATGGAAAGACTATTGGATTGAATGGTGATCAATACTGTGTTGGTTTTTTTTAAGAAACTAAGCTGTACAAGCCTAAACCTGTTCTTGTGACTCAAAAGATTGAAAGCAGACTATGTTTATTAAAATAGCTCTCAAATAAAGGCCCAAGCTGTTGCATTAGTGGTGTGCCATTCTGGACGTTTGTCGAACAAATTCTCAGCAAGAGCTCAGCAATTCCACTGGCAGGAAGAGCACCATGCTGTTTGGAAAGCTGTGCTCAACTTCCCAAGAAGTGTAAAGCAAGAATGAAAATAGATAATTAGCTCAATTTTGTAAACTGCTTAGCATTATTTAAAATTTTGGTATTTCATGTAATTTCTATTAATGAAGAGTTAAAAAAGAATCTGTCCTCTCTACCCTGTGTTCCATATATGTTAGCCTTCACCTAGCTACTTCCTCTGCTTCTCTGTTACTCTGAGTTGTGTGGGGTTTTTTTCCTGGGTGAAGATTAAGTTCATGCATGATGAAATCTGGGATTTTTGGAATCTGTGAAGTCTGTCCCTGAAAATACGTTGGGTCATCTTAGCTGCGTTTCTATGAGATTTGCTGTGGTTATATTATGTCTGTGTGATTGTCTTGTCCAATGTAGTATCTCAGAGCACAGCTACAGGGGATGATTAGAAACAAAGGCAGGATTAATCTTTTTTGCTTCAAAGCCCAGTACTTAAAGCATACATACCCTTGGTTTGAAGAGTACTTGCTTTGGTCTTAAGGCTTGAGTTATGAACCTGTCAGTCAGAGGATTGTTCCTCTTATTTTTCTGCAGAAAAATATACTGTTTCTTAATTTACAGTGTACTGTGTCTACGGTCTAATTTATTAATGCATTATAGATCACTTTGCATCTGATGAGATCTGTCTTATCAATTGTCTGAATTTATTTTTATCTTGTTTCTTTATCCTGGTGTTCCCTTTTTAAAGATTGTAACTTCATCATTTTATGATCGTTCATCAGTTTCCTTCCAGTTTAGTTTTCCTCGCTAGTTTCTCTTTGTTAGAGTGAAATTTAAAAGTATCTTATAAATATGTAAGCTGCAAGTGAACCCAGCAGAAGTGTTTTACTAACTTTTTTATAGATACATTCCAAGAACCTGTTGTCATTCTTTCTATTTTAATTTTGCACAAATTGTCTGAGTAATCAGTCTGTCACAACCTGGGGGGGGGAACAAACACAAACCTGCTCCAAATATTATGACAAGTTTCATAAATATTTTTAGTTATCCTAAGATAGCAACAAAGTTTTAGTCTTTAGGTGTGTTTTTCTGCACTCAATGGCTTCTGTCCTTAATTTTTAACAGGAAAAGTAGTTATACTCAGTAATTCAGTGGCAGTCATCAGAAACAGCTATAAAAAAGTTAAACTGAAAAAAAAAAGTTGTACTTACAGAAAAATAAGATTTTGGAGGAGGAAAAAAAAAAGTATGTGTATGTTTATGTTACCTGATATAAGTACTTCCAATTTGTGCAGAGTACAATTGTCATATGTTCCTTTATCAATTCATAGAATGGTTTAGGTTGGAAGGGACCTTAAGGATCATCAAGTTCCACCCCCACTGCCATGGGCACTTTGGGGCTTTGTGCAAACTTGGAAACCTTAATAATCAGTTAAACTTTAGAAGTATGTGTATGTTTATGTTACCTGATATAAGCTCTTCCAATTTGTGCAGAGTACAATTGTCATATGTTCCTTTATCAATTCATAGAATGGTTTAGGTTGGAAGGGACCTTAAGGATCATCAAGTTCCACCCCCACTGCCATGGGCACTTTGGGGCTTTGTGCAAACTTGGAAACCTTAATAATCAGTTAAACTTTAGAGTATTTTGTAAATAAGATTCAAAGTCCAAAGGGAGAAGATTTCTTTCTGTCTTTCCCCCTCTCTCCATACCTTCCAGTCCCATTTTGGGGAAGAACTTCAGTCGGTTTCTTTTTTCACAGAAGGTCATAGGAACTTTGGCCACATCCATGTCCAGTTTTGGCAGCTGAACATACTCTTGTCCTTGCTAATGCAAGTCTTAAATGTTTTGGTTTGCCTTTTTATTTGGACACAAAGAGATGCTACTTAAACTTTGTGTTTGCTTTTCATTTTAAATGACTTTCATAAAGTTATGCAATGAGTTGAGCTTTGCTAAGCAAGAACAATGTGGTTCTGGCAAGTGCCAACTACCCTTTCCTGTCCTTTTTTGAAAAAAAGTTGCTGTGAAAGATGAAAAGGAAAGTAAGTCACTTCAATTTATATTTCTAGGTAATAATACCCTTAGTTTCTTCATTGGTTTTAAATATTATACTTAGGATATCTCACAGATACAGATGTGCTCTAATCTTGGACTCTTGGTTACTCATACTTACCTTGTAAGGTGTGAGACACCTTTGTCAAATGTTGCTGGATACCCTCAGTTAGTGTTGCTACTATTAAATTATTCTGGTTGCAGACAGTATGACTACAGCTTCTGTAGTCCTCAGTATTTGTGCTGTGCTACAAGAAAACTTTTCATGGTGAGCAACCTAATAAATTATCTTCAGTTGAAAATGTCAAAAGACTCAAACACACAAACTGTACTGTCTCAGAAGGCACACTTGTGCATGATCCTAAAATGCTGGCAATTCTTGCAAATCTAGCATCTGTGTCTAAAGAACTGTATAAACAGCACTCTCATTTGGGAATTTGAATATCCTGTTTCAGTTAATGTGAATGTTAGAAGCACACAAGCTTGCTTGTTCTGGTCCTTCAATCTCATTTTCCTTCTCCTATTCTGTCACCTGACACTAGGGGGACAGACAGGTTCTTTTAGAGATCCCGGGCAGAGTGAGGATGGTACTAAGCTGTAGTTACAATTAAAGCTTTCTTTTCTTAACAGGATATTATTAGTAGTATAGCACAGAATTTATTACTAGAATGGGACAGGATTTCTACAAGCAGTACCAGTGTAGCACAATTTATAAATAGTGTAATACAGCATTTATAATACGACTTAACTTAAATTTCTAATCACTGCAAGTCGGGTCAAATCTTAGTATGTGGTTTGCTGTATCAATAAATATAACAATCATAATCTAGACTTGAAAAATCATACACAAGAATATGAGTCACTCCCTCAGTCCTGGGAGGATGCAGAAGACAATGGAGGTGTCCCTGGTCACCGGGGGGGGGTCACAGGTCTCACTGTCCAGCAGCAGTTGGGGTCCAGGTTCCCACTTGGGACTTGCAGCTGCTTGATGTTATAGCCAGTGCTCTGTGTGCTGTTATGGTTTTTTTGGGCTCACCAGCCTGGCCGTGTGCCTGCCACCCTCAAGGCCAGCAAGGAAGGGAGTCATCGTCCTGGCGCCCAGCAACCTTGAGGTTCCTGGCATTGTCATTTTTTAACAATGTTGAACCACATTCCCAAATATTGTCTTTAGGATCTCGGTACTCATCAAATTATTATTAATTTTCTTTGTGTTCATGTATCTAGCAGGGTAGACAATTGAAGAAATAAGTTACCTGTTAAACTGAGGAACTCTAGTTTGAAAATTAAATCTCTTAAGTCAGTTTCTTCTAGTATGGAATAGACTATCTTTTGGATGTTTGTGGCTTCCTGAATCTGAGTCATTAGCTTAGACATCATCTTTTTAGATGCCTGAAGGTGGCTGAAATGTAGTATGCCTGGAGTGCCTTATGCTTTTGCAGTTACTCAGTTATGTCTGATGTGCAATTGTATTATGAGAACGCACTTCTTAAGCAGAGGTTTAAATCCTGTATTGTAAAAGAAAGTTGTGAAACTTAAATTGCTTAACATGTCCTTGTGCAACTTGAGGCTTTTCTGAGAACTCCTGGTGGTGAAAGCCAAGGAGACAACTGAAGACTGGTACTTCACTGAGACCTTTTCAGGGCTTCTGAGTACTTTCTTGAAGAGTTGACCTTTAAAGCTGATTCAGGAGGCTGTCAACAGGAGTAGCTTGGACATCCATAATCTCTGCTTCTCCAGGTGAAATACCATCTCTTTCCATCTGTTCAGGATGGACTGTCGTCTAACTTTCTTTCCCATGTTGCTTCTTTTTTCTGAAAGAAACAGCTCCTGTAATACAGGAAGTCCTTTTAATAAATACCACTGTGATAATTAAGTTCTCCCCTCTTCCCAGGAATTGAATTTCCTCCTGCTGCCTTTTTCTATATTCATTATGGACTGAAAATAAGCAATTAGGATGGTATTGCATTATGGACTGAAAATAAGCAATTAGGATGCTGCTCCCTCAATCTAGGGAGTTCCCTCACTGTACTGTCTTCCTTTATATGAGGCTTTTTGCTTGTTTGGCATAGCTTTTTGCTGCTCAGGATGTTTTGACGAAGTGCTGTAAGAGTCTTGAGAGATTGTGATGGTACGTGACTCCTGCTAAAGCAGTATCCTGATTTTTCACTCTCATCTCTTTGCAGAGACTGCATGTGGTATAATAATATATATCAGATGAGGCTTGTGGAGGGAGGTAATTATCTTTATAATTTATAATATCTTTATAATGAGACAGGGTGCCAGGCAAGCTTTTGGTCACACATTACCTCAAAGGGCTGAGACAGGGTGCCAGGCCAGCTTTTGGTCACACATTACCTCAAAGGGCTTATGTGCCCAGATGCACATCAGGTCTTTTTTCCAGCTATATTAGTTCATCTAATAAAAGGTATTACCTCTTTGTAGAAACATTGCCTTACTTGCAGCCTTCGTGACGTAAGCACGCAACAGCATGGCAACCATTACCAAGGCTGACCAACATGCTCTTCTCTGTATTGTTTCCAGTTCCCCCCCTCTTGGTTGCCATATGTGCTTTTCAGGTGTAGAGTTTTTATATTCAAGAAGTGATGAAGTCCTCTTTAATCAGTGTGGTCTCTTCTTTAAGTAAATTGAGAAAGAAAATTTAATTTGTCTAAATCGAAATGGAAATTTCACTTCGCGGTGCCTCTGGCATCTTTAAATATCACTTTAGTGCATGGCTTGTAATAAATGGGATCCAGATTTACAACTCTGGGAACCTAAAGGTCATCCATGCTTCAGGTACAAGCATGTGTAATTTATCACTATGTCACGTGTATTTGCTTTTAAAACTTAGTTGTGTTCATGAGCAACACAATGCTTCATGGGATGGCACTTACTGTTGCCTTTCGGTTACTCAGTGAAGGGTGCTGGAAACTTGTTTCTGATGCCAACTTTACGCAGGATGTATTTCCTGCTTGAGATAGTAACTACAGCCAAAAGCAGTTTAACTAATAAGGTTTAGGATGTGTCAGTAGTGATCTCTTCACTGGCCCTGTTTTACCTCCATAGATCTTCTCTGTTTTCATGTGAATAGGTTTTACTTCATGATGAAGGAAGCCTTTGATGATTGTTTTGAGGAGTAGTTTAGTGTCACATACAAACCTTCACCCTTTTTCTGTCAATGTTGGGCTTTTTTAAGATCTACTGAAATATTTCCCTTGAATTTTTGAGGGGGAGGAGGGAAACTATTTGGAAGGAAGTTATTGATCTTAAACAGAAACAAATGAGGCATCAACAGCTCTGTTGAAGCAGCGTGTATCCATAGCTACTGAGTGATGCTAAAATGTAAAACTTCAGAATGTTTAAAATTGTGTGATTACGTCCAACTTGTCTGCCTCTGACACTGAGGAGTATACTGATGGCCACCTGTAACTGCCAGCTGTGTGGACTTCTAAGACAAATTTTGGTTTAAATAAGAGTATCTAGGGGTGGTTTAAATTACTACTCTTCAGAATTCCTTATTTATACTTGCTTACTTTGAAGTATTTCAGGTGGAAAATTTAATGTCTCTCTTCTTCTCATAAATGAGTGTGTGTGTGTGTATATAAATAGTATCAATACGATATACTTGTCTAAGCAGCTACAGTGATCAAGAAGATGAAGCCAGCAAGGCTGCTTTGTCATGGGTGTTTGCTGTGATGGTTTTTTTATTGTTCAATTAGCAATAAAAAGGTCTGTGCTGGCAGTGTAGTGGCTAATGACTTTCCATTGTATAAGCTGATTTTTAGGTTTTTTTACTGTGATCTAATTAGCTACTGAGAAAAGTGCTGCCTCTTCAAGAGCAGAAAACTTAGCCATAGTGCCCCATCATGTATAAATTTTCATAAACTGTGTGTGTTTATACTTCTAGCAAAATGTACAAACACTCCCTGAGTTGTCTTAATGATTATCTGAAGAAGCCAGATTTCAGTGTGCTTTCAATGTTTTTGAAATTATGATAATTTAGTAATTTATAGCAGAATGAGGAAGTATTTGATAGCCCACTAGCTGTACCCTTCTTCAAATACTATAGGCTTTTATTATGGCTTTTGAAGAAGATAAATCACTTGAATTTGAGTCAGTTGCCACTAGATTATCCTTTTCTTCACTGAGTATCAGTACTCTGACTCATCCTTCATTTCACAACCTCTTCAAGGTATTTTTTGTTTGGGAAGTTACAGTGTCCTTACTCTCAGGAAAGAGAAATTTAATATAATTAATGCCACATCATGGTTCTGAGGTTTTTTTTGTCTAATGATTGCAAACAAGGACTCTTGACGTGTTGCTTGTCTTGATTATGAATAAATATCTAGAGTTAGGCTGACGTAGGAAGGATTATTTTTTACTAATTATTGAGTTGCAAAGTGATCTGTTCTCCAGTTCACGCTCTCCCCCATCCCTGAATGTTGCATTACAGTCTTACAGTCAAATTCTAAACTTGCCACAAAAGCAGTAAGTGAAACATGACAAAACATAACTTTCTGAAAACAACTGACCCAGGTGTTTTTCTGTATTGATCTGTCATTAAAAGGGTATCTCCTATAGGTGTCTCTTAGAATTTAGTCTCTTTTTGTCAGATCCATTCCAGGAAACGCTTCCTCTCTTCATATTGAAGTAATATAAATGTGAGAGTAGTGATTTTTTTTTTATTCCCTTTGCAAAATACACGCATAAAATGATACACAATTACTTAAAAAAATGACCTTTTAATTACAAGTCATGGATTTGCTCTATAGCTATTTGATTTAAATTTTATACTTTTATACAAGTGCTTGTAAATGAGGAAAACCTTTTTCAGAACTTTTTTTTTTTAAACATAGTAAACTTCATAGTGTTTGAAGTCTATGTCTAAATCTGTTTCAAACTGGTTTCTGAATAGAGCTCCTGGGAAAATTATGATGGATAAGAACATACACATACAACACTTGCAATATTAGCAGATTCAGGTTTGTTTTTACCAACTATCTTTTGCAGGTCTCTTAAAAGAAATTCATGATCCACACGCTTATGACACTGGTTGAAAACAACTGGTCTCAAACTCCTGTAAAATTTCTCATGTTTCTTTTTTTGTTTGTTTCTTTTTCTGTGTTCTTAGCCAGCAACTGTTTTACCACAAACCCTAAAAACTTACAGCTCTTCTCTAGGATAGCTGGTGGTGTTGAGCACATACTTGCTCTGTCGTGGCTGGAGCTACACTCAATGTACATCTGAATTCATAGCTTATGGATAGATGATACAATGAGCTTAGCAGTTAATTAGAACAGAGTCAGTACTACTCAGCACTTCCTAAGGGTGTAGAGAAAGAATTCCCTTAGAGATTTTTCATTTTTCCTTGAGCTGGCTAGTTTTTTAGCTTGGTAATAATCATCATCACTTTTTGTGGTCTTAAACCAACACTTATGCGAATAATGGAGTTCTTACAGTATGTTTGTTTTTCTCAATACCAATGTGAGAGGTAAATAATCTTATATGAAAGCAGTAAGGAATGTATACAGCTGAAAAGTATGCGCTAACTTTTGGGACCTCGCTGTAAGAGTGCTCTTGCCCCTGTTCTGTGTAGTACTATTGCAGTTTTGGGATAGTCTTGATGTTTTGTGGTTTTCTAAATTTAAAGAAAAAAAAAAACCTGCATCAGTTTTAATGTGTTCTCATGTGTGTTTTTCAGGGTCAAATATCTGATTGAAAAAAGCATATTCTTCATGGCATCCTGAAAGTATGCCTTATGTATACCACTTACGTATGGTCATTCTAAATCATTGTTCTTGAGAACGTGGTTTTTTTTAAGTATTCAAGTTCATACACAGCATTGAAATGGCATTTGTTCAGTCTTGAGTCAAAGAACCTCAGTGCGGTAGAAAAATATTTAAGGAGTCAGACTATACTGTTAGCACAGTAATCTCAATACATGGAAATAGAGGAGTTAGCTTTTTTATTAAACTCGTTTGGAAAATATTCATTTCCTGAAAGATATACTACATTAAGTATTGCTATGCTGCTTAATGATTTATCTGAAATATTGAGAAAGAGATTAAACTCAAGGTACACAGTATTCTTACATACTAGTTGTATGGGACTGTAATTTACCAAGCAAGGATACAATGTATTTAAATGAAAAAAAAAATATATATATTTTTAATATATATTCTTGAGATTGTTACCTGGGATCACTTAGTTCCCTACTGAATTTTAAAGTGCCAGATCTGCTTTCTGGATTAGTTTGAAAAGCTTTATTTATTGAAAACTCATGGTACAATTAAAGTATTGATTTAAGCAGGGTTTGGAGCCTTCTGAGATGAGAGGGGTTTGAGGGACTGTATAAAAATAGAGTGCTTTGCTGAAAGAGTAGAAAAATAACTTGGTGGCCTCACAGCTCTAGTTATCAGAGGATGATGTTCCTTTCCATGACAAATATTAAGCTCTTCCTAGTCAAAATGTTTGGATAATGAGGTTGATAGTTTGCCTACAAATGTTCCCATAAAAACACTAAACAACTAAGAGGGACAAAAATGATTGAGTTAAATGTAGTGATTATGATCAAAATGTCACGGAAAAATTACTTTTCTCTTAAAAATGAATTTTGATAAATTCATTTTTATCAAATTTCTGGATTGGAAAAAAACCAGGCTGTTCTTGATCCTTGTTGATGTTGGTCAACAATTTGGTGTTATCAATGACTGAAGTTCAAAGCTTTCATATACTGTGTAATATCTACACGTAGAGCGAGGAAACTGCTGGAGATCCATCCACTCTGCTCTTTAGCAACGCTGAAGCAAGGGTACCCTATTCAGTACTGTCATTAGGTATCCTCATTTCCCTGTTTGTGCTTGTAGCAGTCTGCTCCTCACGTTCTTTGAATAACCTAAACTTGGGTAACAAATTAAATAGGACCATATAGCTTTGATTATTTTTTTTTGTTTAATTTTACACTGAATAAAGATTTAATCATTTCAAAGAAAGCGGCAGCTTGGCATAAGGCAAAGTTGAGGTCGTCTTGGTTTTTTTTTGCCTACAAGCAATCACTGAGTCACCTTTTTTTCTTTCAGAGTTTGAAAAAAAAGTGTGATGGGACAGGAGGCAGAAACAAAATTTGAAGCTGGAGCTCGTGGCCTCGATCGATGAAGAGTTGAAGCAGACACATCCTGGACACACAAAAGGACAGCTGAAGAGTAAGAGCAATGCATTTAATTTTAAGGGGAAAACAGTACCAGAACTCTCAGACCTATCTAAACAAGGAAAAAGACTGATCTTGGAGTTGAGCCTGGTCAGTCTGTTTGTAACAACGAGGGGACAGCTTTGCTGTAATCAAGTTGAACTAATATCCGTCCTCCTTGTTTCCTGCTCGCCTTCAGCTGTGTCTGAAGTTGCTCAGGTTCACGGCAGTTGGCTCAGCCTGTTCAAGGTTGTGGTCATAGCTGGTTTGCATTAGCTGGTTTTGAACTAAAAAATGGGTACAGTAGTAGGAGAAAGGAAGCATATTATGTGTGGCAGGAGTGTATGTTGGGAAGGGTTAGTAGGCATTCCTTATGTTTGAATGTGGGTATAGAGGAATGAGATTGCTCAAAAAAAGTGTGCTGCTGCTCTTCCCTGCCTGGCCTACCCTACTCCATGAATTAAGAAAAAGAAATGCAACTTCTAAAAGCTCCATTCAGGTATGAAGGGGCTGGGAGCAGTCCCTTACATTGACAGAAACGAAGGTGAGAAAAAGGAGCCTTTTTGTGTCTCTGTGGAGACTTCTTCCTTCCAGGCCTGGTGATTCTCAGGGTATTATTCTTTTTCACTTGGCAGGTTATAAGTTGAAAAGTGAGTCTTGTCTGTTGTGTGGCAGTTTGAAGCATTTATATTGCTTGAAAGATTTACCTCTCCTAAGTCTCCTTAGGCTTCTCCCCAGTTGCAAAATCATTAGCTGACACGTTCTAAGAAATTATCTAGTCCTGGCTGCTATCTTCACTTTAAAGTTACAGAAAAAATTGCTTGTTTGTTGACTATCCACTTTGCATGCACACAAAAGACATCTATGTTCTTGCACCCCTGTTGCCTGTGGCTTGCAAAAATGCTGAAAACAAACATTACTTGAGTTGAAATTACATGGCTTTATGATAACAAAGAATTTTACTTGGAAGAAAACACTTGGCTTTAGTAAAGACCTTCTCCCTTTTTTACTGCTTTGCTCATACACCTTGAGAGAGAATGTGTGTCTGCACAATAGAGCTAATAGAGGGGTTGAAACAACTTACTCCATGGAAAGGTACTACAACTGAGGCGTAAGACAAGTCAGTCATTTAAGAAAAAAGTCGTGGGCTGTGTACAACCCAAAATTTGCTTCACCACTCTTGCATTTCAACTCCTGTCTGGCATGGTTAATAATTTTGTTACCAAGGAAGACTCCTTAATTGAGTGTATGTTATCCTAAGGTTTGTGTAAAATGAAAAAACTACATTGCTAGTATTAAACTGCTATTTATTTTATGCAGTGAAGCATGTGGCTGATTTAAGTCACCTTAGTTTTTCTTAGCAGGTCTGAACTTTTGCCGTCATTAGCTTTTATTGGAACACTTCTAAATAATGCTATTTGCTGCTGCACAGCATATGGTGTGTTAATGCTTTCTTTTTATTTTTAGTATGCCAGAACTATGTGTTCCTCCCTACAGCATGAGCTGGCTTTCCTTCTTCACATTCCTTGCAGTCCATCTGCTATAAATGTTTCTACAGTACATCGAACGATGATGCTAAGATACTGATGTGTTAAGTCACTAACAATAAAAATAAAACATAAAATTTTGTGGTGTATTTTGCCTGAACACATTCCACTACCAGTTCACAATCAAATAGCCTCTGGTTTTTTTAAGTAAAATCTTATTTGGAAGCTTTTAACCTAAAATCAGCATTTGTCACGTTTGAGAGCATCTTTGATGATCTGAAACTTTCTCATGTGGAATGCCTACTGTTTTGTGGAGAGGAAAGATCAGAAGATTACTTGTGATTAGGGTGTAAAACAAGTTCTCTCAGACTTGGGGAGAGCATCTGAGTGTTTTTTCCAAGTCATTGTGAAATGAAAGAGGATACATGCCTGTTAGACACAATTCAGCTAGTAAGTTACATTTTCTGAGAGGTTGAGTGATTTTCATTGGATAATTCTCATCCAAAACCAAAACGCTTATTTTTGGATGTTGTGGTATAAAACACTGTGTATTTGTAAAGCAGCAGAGGTTGCCACTTCTTCTTGCTTTACCTCAGCAGTTATTGATCTAAAAATACTAAAAACACAGTTGTATTTTTCGCAGTGGGATCCTCATGATTATTGAGCGTACGTTAGGAGTAATGCTTGCTCTGGTGGAGCCTTGAATTTAAACTGCTGTTAAGGAAAAGTCACAGATCTTGTGATCCCACAGTGGGAAAAAGGGAAAACAGGTGGTAAGGCTACATATAATGGTTCTTTCCATTGTTACCAGTGCTCTGACAGCTTCCCCTAGGAGCCTTTCTCTTTAGAAAAGAGATAAAATAGTAAATAGAACTGGCCAGGCATGTACAGTGCCTGTCAGCCTCTGATTCGTGCCATCTGTAGTACAGATCCTTGGGTTTAAGAGTTGGTTCTTTACTCATTTATGCAACAACAGACAATTTTATTATTTGTTTTTTTTAAAAAAAAAAAAAACTTGTCAGAATTTGGCATGCTTCATTCAGTAACACTGTAGTTAAATTAGTGTTGTCTGTCAACACCTATGTATGACTTTAAAAAAAAAATAATCTTGAGTAAACAGTTGATTCATAGCAATATTTCTGCATTCTTTACCAGTTCCAGATCAGTATCTAAATAGTAGAGCAGCATACACCCACAGTCTTACATGTAGCAATACTTCTGTATTTAATAGCAGCATTTTCTAACACATTTTTCCTCGGAATAGAAAAGGTTTTTAGGTGAGAATTCTGTGCTGTGTTTGGGTAGGTACAGATAGCTTGTACTAGTAAATGGGCATACTGAATCATCAACAGCTGCTCAGGGATGAGCAGAAACCACCATATCCCTGGTGCAAACCTAGGTTACATCAAGAAAAAAGAAACAGGCAGAACTGATGCTGCCTCATCTGGATGAGCAAGACAGATACTAAGTCAGAACCCTTCAGCACGCAAATGAACGTTGTATCCAGGTTTGGATCTTTGGCAGAATGCTTGGGAAATGAGTCTTAAATATCTGTGTATAACATGCCACTTCTGCTGTGTCCACATCCAAAATTTGGTGGGTGAACCGAACTTTTTTTTTGTAAAAGCATGTCCATCTACCGCCCTTAATTAATTTTCTCTACGATGCAGCCTTTTCTTCAAACCCTCGTGCCAGTGAGTAAGTATAGCAGTGTCTAGCTTACGTGAGCTATCTCAAATGGGTATTTAAAGGGTTAGGCACTGATTAAAATCCCACTGATTCTATCCTTGAAGTAGTAGGGTGACTCAAAATGCCTTTGTCAGATGTCTTTGACCTCTCCAGCTGTCCTGTCAGTGAGGATGAGTCAGAAGCTGGAGCCCTACAACTAACACTCACTAAATCTGGAAGGCTCAACTGTTAGCATAACTGATTGTGCAGCGTGGGGCAGGATGTGAACTGGTGCAGTACTGAGGTGACCACAGCCTTTCCAGAGTGCTGCCACGTTTTTTGGAGAAGACAGGGAAGTCTCTTGGTCCTTTGTTTTATTCTACGCTGACAGTGAAAACAGTGTTTTCCTGGAGAACTGAGCAGTCTGTGGGCTGATGGTAGAAACAGTGCTCATGGGGACTTCTCAGGCTGGTTGTATGGTGGATGTTCTGTTCACTTTCTGTGCAGAATTTGGGGGAAGCTGCTGAACTTGCAGCCCGTGTGATACTGGAGGTGACTGGTCTGCGGTCCCACTGAGCCTGAAAGAAAGTAGGTGCCTGGCCCAGTCAGAAAGGTCTCCATGAGGACTTGGGCATCCCACTGTTTAGTAGAGATATAAACGGTGTCCGTGCAAACTCAGTTCACGTGTTCAGTCCTGGTGTATCCACACCTGTGTCACCCAACACTAAGGGGACAGACAGGTTCTTTTAGGGATCCTGGGCAGAATGATGATGGCAGTAAGCTGTAGTTACCATTAAAATTTCATTTTCTTAACTGGATATTATGATTAGTATAGCACAGAATTTATCATTAGAATGGCATAAGATTTCTAAAGGAAGATTCAGTAAAGTACAATTTATAAATAGTGTAATACAGCATTTATAATACAACTTACAATTTCTAATCACCTGGATCCTCTGCAAGTCGGGTCAAATCTTAGTATGTGGTTTGCTGTATCAATATAACAATTATAATCTAGACTTGAAAAATCATATACGAGAATATGAGTCACCCCCTCAGTCCTGGGAGGATGCAGAAGACAATGGAGGTGTCCCTGGTCACCGGGGGGGGTCACAGGTCTCACTGTCCAGCAGCAGTTGGGGTCCAGGTTCCCACTTGGGACTTGCAGCTGCTTGATTTTATAGCCAGTGCTCTGTGTGCTGTTATGGTTTTTTTGGGCTCACCAGCCTGGCCGTGTGCCTGCCACCCTCAAGGCCAGCAAGGAAGGGAGTCATCGTCCTGGCGCCCAGCAACCTTGAGGCCAGTAGGGAGGGGAAGAAGAAATCTGTTTGTGTATTTGGTTTACAGTACCTTCAGTGCCTGCTAATAAGGGAAAAAATGCAGGACCCAGTCAGTCACAGAGGATGGCTGCTTGCTTTATAAAATGGCATTACTTATGCTAACCACATTACCAGGAGTGGCTGCCAGCCACACACCTGATGCTGGTTTTGGTAGCGCTGTCCTACGAATGTTAAGTAGAAATATCCCTCCTCACCATGAGGATAAAGAAAGACTTCACAGAAAGTCATCCTGTGCAAACCATGGTTAGAGCCCCTATGTCAGGTTTGTGGCCCTCTCTCCCTCCCTCTGAGCCTTCGAAAGGAGAGCTCTGTGCTTTGTGGTCACCTGGCAACTACGTACACAATACAAGAGAGAGAGATTTTTTTCAAGTTACATCATCTTGATTTAGCCATAGTTACAAACTGCCATTGCCAGGCTATAGATTTATTTTTTTTCCAGAGAAACTCCGCAGATCTAATGGCAAGTTCTGTAAATTTTAAATTAAATATCCATAGATAGGTAATTTTAGATCTGTAGGCATAGAGAAACATTGCGTTTCTTTATTTTGTTGACCATTACCCTGGCTGCATGTTTGAGTACAATTGTGTTTTGGTTTTGCTTTTAGTGTAGTGTTAAAACTTCACGCAAACAAAGCTTTCATTTTATTTCCATAATGTCTCCTACAGGCTTCAATAGACATGCATACAGAAAACGAGATTTAGTCTTAGCTTTATAATGTCTTAAAAACACAGCTTTCACAGCAGTAGTGATAAAATTTTCAGCTGTTTTTGAAGAGTTTGTTTTGTTTTTTTTAAGCCAGCCGGACTTGGTGAATAGTTGTGAAAAGAAACTAGTCAGTATAATAAAGTTCCTAAGCCTGAGATCTGCTCTAGGCAGGGTCAGAATAAAACAAACTGCAATAAAAATGTTCAAGCTCACTAACTAGGAAAGAGTATCTTGACAAACCACGATTTTGAAAAGTTAGGGAAACTGGCAAACTAAAAGGGCAGTGTAAAGGCTTGCTGAGGGGACAGTTTATGGGATTGGATAAATATCTTAAAGAATTAACCTTTCTTCTGGCCTCAGAACAGATGCAGCTTCCCTGGAAACAGTAGGGGAGGTATGTGAGAAAGCAGTGTTCTCTGTTTTTTGAAGGAGCAGTGCCTAGCTGAAGAGAACTAAAGGACAGCAGTTTCTGAACAGTATCATGGGGCTGCTTTAGCAATTTCACTAGTAAATCTGTAAGTGGTCCTGTGTGTGTGACTGGCTTGGTAAAAGAAGAATTCAGTGTACAGGTTTAGAGTACAGATTCTGGTTCATAACCACAGAATGGCAGGGGTTAGAAGGGACCTCTCCAGATCGCCTAGTCCACCCTCCCTGCCAAAGCAGGTTCACGTAGAGCAGGTTGGACAGGAACGCATCTGGGCAGGTTTTAAGTATCTCCACAGAAGGAGACTCCACAGCCCTTCTGGGCCACCTCTGCTCTGGCACCCTCCAAGTAAAGAAGCTTTTCCTCATGTTGACAAGGAATTTTCTGTGTTCCATTTTGTGCCTGTTGCCCCTTCTCCTGTCACTGGGCACCACTGAAAAGTGTCTTGCCCCATCCTCTTGACACCTACCACCCTTTAAGGTATTTAAAAGCATTAATGAGATCCCCTCTCAGTCTTCTCCAGGCTAAACAGGCCAATGTGTCTCAGCCTTTCTTCATAAGATTGATGCTCCACTCCCTTGATCATCTTTGTAGCCCTCCACTGGACTCCCTCTGGTAGTTCCATGTCCTTCTTGAACTGGAGGGCCCAGAACTGGACACAGTGCTCCAGATGTGGCCTCACCAGGGCAGAGTAGAGGGGCAGGATGACCTCCCTCCATCTGCTGGCCCCAGTCTTTTTAATGCACCCTAGGATACCATTTGCCTTCTTGGCCACAGGGGCACAGTGCTTCCTCATGGTCAACTTGTTGTCCACCAGGACTCCCAGGTGTCTCTCTGCAGGTCAGCCCCCAGCTGGCACCGGTGTATGGGGTTATTCCTCCCTAATGCAGGACCCTACACTTGCCCTTGTTGAACTTCATCAGGTTCCCCTCCAGCCTGTCCGGGTTTGGCCGTATGGCAGCACAGCCTTGTGGTGTCACCTGCTCCTCCCAATAATAACAGTAATACTTGTCACTAATGTCTGAGACTTGTTCCTCAGCACTGAGTGACAGACCTTAATGAGGAGTAGGGAAATGAAAGAAATATTAATTTGTTATTTGTAATGTCCCTAAAGGAGGTGGCTTTGGGACATGATTGTTGCTCTTACCTAGAGGAGGGCAGAGGAGGAAGTGATACATTGCTGAGACTACTGTAAAGTTTCAGGGTAAGGCACCAAACATGTACAAACAACAGACAGAATCTGCCAGAACAGTGAAGTCCAGATGCTCTGTCTATATTTGTTTCTTACATCTGCAAAATACAGAAGGTTACCAGTTGCAGCTTTGTCCTTTTCTTTGTTTTTGTTGTTTATTTTTTTTTTTAACATACGCTCTCAGCATAATAGCCAGTTTGTGTGGGGAAGAACAAGCAGCCTAGCAAGGAAAAAAAAAACATTGGTGCAAATTCAAAAATAGCTTTATTACATTTTACTAACTAAACAAAGGTGATGACAGCTGCTATTGCAGTTGCAGCATAGATAGCATTTCAGTCACCAGCTGTCCAATGAACCCTGGTGGGAGGCTGCCACAGCAGTAGTTTTAACCAAACTGGGAAGGAAATAGCAGAATCCTATGAAAACTACAGCAAGTAATTACTTTCTATAGCATTGCTCACAATACAAGAAAACTAGTAATTTGGGTCATATTTTCTTGAAATCAAGTCATTTATTTTTTCCCTTATAAAAACTTACAGGAATCTGAACAAGCAATGAACAACAGTGGATTAGACACAGCCACGGAAGACGACATTTCAGGTAAATTAGATTTAGGTTCACCAGTTACCGTTGTTCTGTTTTCAGTCTGAGGGTTTTCCAGTTTTAAACAGGCTGAAGAGAGTTGTTAAATGGCCATTAGCATAAGGAGAGATATGACATGACAGACTCCACAACCACAGAGCAGGTGGTTTTTGTCCATTCATATCGTATCTCTGAATGGCCTTAAGAAGCAGACGAATATCTAATATAATTTATTCTTGAAAATAAACTTAATTTTAAAATTTAATAAGAACGCCGTTAATTTTACATGTCAAATATATGGTTAAAGTTACTCATGGGTACTTTGTGAAGAATTCCTACTGTGCTTTCGATAAGAGTAAACTGATGCAAGCCATGTTCTTCTTTCAAGCTCTGGAATTGAGCTGGCACAACAGTAATTTTAAGGAGGTCCAAAAGTGAAAGGGCATGAAATGGAGGCCTTTGAATGACAGAATCATGGATACAGTACATGCTTGTTTAACTAGTTTCAGGTTAGATAAAAGTTTCTTCTCATGCCTTACTCGGTTTGATTTATGAGCCCTTCATTGCCATAATGTTCAGAACTTCTATGTTATAAAATCCTACTTGAAGAAATGAAAGCTTGAGAAAACTGTGGTAACAGTTTGTTGTATCTGCTTTTCATTTTGGAATAAAACAGTGTTAAGTTTGGATAACCAACTGAGCACATATGCTTAGGTTTTTTTACCATAGGAACTGTTTTTCCGCAATTACCGACACATGGGCACAACAAACTGCTCTAAAGCTTCTGTAAAGTTTTCTGGCAGGCGGTGCTGCCCATGAAGCCTCCTTCCCTTTTTCCCCAAATCTGCCATCCTTCCAAATACTTTAACTTTGCAGAAAGCCCCTCAAATCAGATAGTCTGGCCTGAACTTGGAACTCGTTCTTAGCATGTTAAGAAATAGGTTTAGACTTGGATATTATTGTTCTTTTGTCTTCTTTTTTAAGGGACGAGAGGTATGGCTTCAAGCATTTTAAGACTTAATTTTTTTTAAAGAAACTGACTGCATTTAATTGAATGCTATCTTAGCTTTTTTTAAAATACACCTTTCCAAGTTTGTAACTTCCTTGTAAGTATGAGAAAATAGTCTTTTAGGATACACTGCGGATTTTCATGGGGTATAAAACATCCTGTCTAATTGGGAAAAGCCTAAATCAAGTATTTCTCATACATAAGCAACTAAGAAATGGATACCACTTCTGTGCCATTTCCATAGCAAGCTGTCTTGAAGGATTGGTAGTAAATATGAATGTAGGTCTGAATTTTCCTTTAAAAAAAAAAAAAAAAAAAAGCCATTGGTCATGAATGGAAATGGGTTTCACTAATCATAGCTTAATTTTAGATCTACTGTGGGGAACAGTAATCATAATTTAATTTTAAAACTTACTGCCAGTCTTTATTATATCATTGTCTGTTAGATATCCGGTGTGCTGACTGTGCCATCTGCTTTTCCTGCAGGGCATGTGGAGAAGGAAAATTAATCACTTAGCCATCAAAAAAAAAAATGAACAGTACTTCAGTCAGATGCACAAGGGCAGCATAAAGCGAACTGAAAGGATATTGGCTTTGGAGAACAATCTCTTCAGAAACTCTCTGAAATGTCACCTACCTTGCCTATTCTACCCAGTTTCATCATGAACACAGACATCTCAAAGGCTGTCCAAGGTTCAAGGAAGATTAATTTAAAGCCAGACCTCTTAGAGCCGCTTCTAATTCAAGAACAACCTAATATGTGCAGAATTGGGACTCTAGAAGCACTTTCTGTTATTTGAATGGCATAATACCTTTTTTAGAGGTGGAAGGCTTGCATCAAATTTGGCTATGAAGTGCCAATGATGGTGTTTGGTACCACTGACATCCCAGGATGATTTACATGTGGCCTTCTGTGCTTGTTCCAGGGGCAACATACATGCAGGCTCAGTACCTGGTTTGTCTTCTGCTTTCACAGGGATCAATAAAGGCAACTGTATGTGAAAAACAAGTTATAGCACGTAACTCTCAGAATTACAGGATGATTGTGTCATTCTTTACTACGTTGTTGTTGCCAGAACCTTTAAGTGTCATGCACGTCAGTCAGGACAAACAGTGGTCACAAAAAGAGGAGAGCATCACCTTGAAATCTGTCACCTTCCCTTTGGCTCCCTTGTCATTTTCAGTTGCTTGTTTTGCATCGTGCTGCGTGTCTTAAGGAAAATCTATAGAGTGGTATTCCCTGGGGAGCTGATAGGCTTTACTCAGAGTCTGATGTAACAGGAGTTCAGACAGATTGCACTTCAGACTTACAAGAGCCATAGCAACAGGACAGCATTGACCCTTGTTGTACATCCCAGGTTGGTGGAAGGAAATAGGAAGTGAGAGAAGATAGGGGAAGTTCGTATCAGAAGAGTATTGTTACGTGAGGGCTGTTTTGTGACCTCTGTTTATAAGTATGCTGTAGAACAAAGAATCCCCATCCCAAATTATTTTTCTTAAACCACTTTAAAACAGGACTATCCGTGGCCAAAGCTCCTTTTAGAGAGTATGTGACTGCTGTGAAGTTTGCCTGATGCTCTACCATGAGAGGAAGAGACCAGTGGTGGTTGTGATTCTAAGCACATGTGATGTCAAAATAAAATGGGTAGTGATATGAACAGCTCCCTAGCTATATTCCCTTGGCTTCCTGCACAGATTTGAGATGCTGCTACCGATGTAGCCTCTCTAGGAAAGCTGTAAGAAAGGGCTGGAAATGAGATGTTCCCTGTTGGCAGCTCTCTCTTAGTCCCTGAGCACTAGGCCATAGTGAAACCCCTGCATGTGGGAGAGCTGTGGGTGCTAGGGAGGGGGAACGAGGCAGGGGAGGAACAGCATCTGCTGGGGCTCAAGGGGTTAGTTAGGGGATGTGGAGAGAGATCTGTGTGTTTTGAATTCCCAGCATTTCACAATAATAAAAAAATTTTTACACTCTTCAGCTTTTACAGTGAGGGAAGGGCAAGAACTGTATTGTGATTTAAATAGCTCAATCTGTCTCAAACTGATAATTACCAGATTTCTGCTAGCTGAATGGAGGAAAATTTTACTGCAGAGTGGAAAAAGATGATGGATAGCACTGCTCACGAAGACACTGGGAAGTCTGACAGCTCCAGGTTAAAGACTGGTGAGTTCTGCAATTGCTGACTTGTAAAATAACGTCACAGGCAGCTTTATGAACATGGGCAAGCAATTACCTTGTGGGCAGACCTTGTAAGATAATAAAAAACTAATTGAAAGGTTACTTGAGTTGAACATAGCAACATTTTATGCTAAGTGTTAAATTAATAACTGAAGCTTTAAGGCTTCCAAAGAAAATTTTTTTTCCTAAACTGAATTTTAGCAAGAAAACTTAAAAGACTTCCCTCAACTGTTAAGATGTTGGAAATCAGGTTATACAATGTTTTTTCTCGCCAAGATGATGATCAAGCTACTAGTGAAATGCAAAAGATTAAGTGCATGTTTCCACTTCTGTCTGAGCAAAAGGTATTGATACAGCACCTCACCTTTTGAAATAATTCAGCACTTAAAAGCACAATTTGAAATATTGCCCAACAATTCTGCAGATCGACTCCAATTTTCAAGTGTATGTTGCAAACAATAAGTGTAAGATGGGGAGCAATACTGTGTCCAGATTCAGTCACAACCATGTTCCCTCCGCTTATCTAGCATCTGTAGCCAGATAAATGGAGCCTGGTAGGAGCTTGCTGCGTGGACGTCAGGATGAAAAATTACTTGGGCAATTACTGTAAACTTGTGCTTGAATTTAAAAGGCATTCTTCTAACTCTTATCATTCCAAATGCTGACCCTGACAAGCTAAGCCATAAACTTAGTAACTGTGACTTCTCCTCTCAGGAATGGTGCAGCCAGCGTCAGTCAGTGAGTTTGTTGCAGGCTGCTCACGCTGAGGAGAGAGCGGCCGTGTGGGATACACGGCTTTAAATGGAAATAGTAAATTCATTTTCCTGCAGACTCTCAGGCTCTCCATTTTTTTCACGTGCCACCGTGCTTTATTCTCACTGTAAAGTGAAGCGGGGCAAGCTGACTTTGATTCTTTGACACTTTTTTTTTGAGAACTGTAAACAGATAAAACATCTGTAACACCGTCGATTGATGAGGATTTGTTGTGGAAATACTAGTTTTAGTTCCATAGAACAATTTCTTAAACAATAATTTTGTGTTAAGTTTGTGATTAAGTTTTGCAAAATAGCTGGCAGAATATGGAAGTTCATTTTATGGCATTTTACCGTTCATTGGGTTAACTATTTTCCTAGACGTATCCTTTTGATTTGAATCAGTTTCTTTTCAGAGTCTCTGTAACCAGTGCGACTGAAATCTAAACACACCTTGCCTTGGAGAGGGGTCTCCTGAGGGGCTGCCAGACCTTCTTTCTAGAGTTAGCTCAGGTGTTTCTGCTGTCCATGTGCTTATATTACTATTTCCTTTTTCTTAGATCATGTGTATAATGATTTACCATGCTACGTGTTTTTCAGTTGATGACCTATTTCTTAACCTCTCTCCCAGACCTAGGGCCTAGGTAGCCTTTAAAAAGGCACATTCCCTGCACCTGCAGGTTGCCAACCTGTGGGCTGCCCCCCCTGTGCCCAGGCAGAGCTGGGACACAACGGGCACCAGAAGCGGCTGAAAAACATCCACAACTTCATACTCACTTTCATTGAAAATGCCATCAAAGTGAGGAACTTGAAAACTTTGAGGTCAGATTTCTAATTTATTTTTATTTTATCATTACACCCATGAGAAGCTCGAGGATGGCAGATGAGGTGTCTCCAGCTACGTGAGGAAGTCACCAAGCCAAAGTTGCTCTCCAGGCCCAAGGGGTTGGTGCTGAGGCCTTTTGCCTGGTGCAGCCTCCATCTCCTCCAGGCCTTTGATACTTTCCGCAGGGAAGGGGGTCCCATAAACTTCCCAACTTCCCCCTAAGGGAGCGCTGCCGCCTGTAACCTTCCACACAGCTGATACGGGTACGGCAGGTGTCCATCCTCTCGGGTGTGGCGCTGGGCCGGACAGAGGGGTTGATGGGCGCTCTGCACGCCCTGACCAACGGGACCGACACCGAGGAGCCCGGTACCTTCCGTTAGGGCCGCCCGCCCTTCCCTGCGGCCCTGGGGCCCCGCCGCTCCCGCCGCCTCCTCACCCTCCCGGCGGGAACGCGCGCCCCGGCGGGAACGCGCGCCCCGCCCACCTCTGGGGGAGACGCGCAGCTCTCATTGGCCCGCGGCCCCTCGGAATTTGCATGGGAAGCGCCCGCCCCGCCTCCCTTCCCGCTCCCTGCGCGGCGCGCGCTGTTGTGACACGTGAGGGCGGCGCACGTGGGGGCCGTTATGTAAGGCGCGCGGGGGGGCAGGCGGCGGGGCGGCACGCAGGCGCACGTGCGGCCGGCCGGCGCGCATGCGGGGGCCGCCCGGTGCGCAGGCGCGGGCGGGGCGGGGGCTGGCCCGGCCTCTCCCTGCCCCCCCCCCCCCCCCCCCCCCCCCCTTTTTTTTTTTTCTTTTGTTTTTCAGAAAATACTAGAAGGACCTGGAGTTCTGCCTGTTTAAACTGCTGAATATTTCCTTCACAATTTTTAGCTGTGGGCTTGAATCATGGCTCCGGATTCTCTTCTACTGACTCAGATGAGGGGAAGAATTCATCTCTGGTAGAAGGCTGGGGGGT